ATTTTAAAATTTAAAATGGCTGATATTCCGCCGCAATGAACTACTCAGTCGACGAGACGAACATAAACACATGCGCACGCACGTACGCACACGCGCGTGTGTTTGTGCTTGTTGGAATTAATGGGCGGGGGCGGGATACCGAGGGCAGTTTTAATGCCCACTGCAATATTTCCTCATTGCCTGATCCATCATATTTTTCTCTAGTGATGACGAACGGCTCCTAATATTTATTTATATTTTAATTGTAATTGCTAAAAAGTTTGTCATAAATCATATTAGTGCAAATACTGATATGTAATATTATTACACATTCTGATGTGTGTATTCTATATAAATAATAGTCCTTCAATTGCCACATAATCTATCTAGTTTAAATATATCTGTTTCGTTTTGTTTTATATGTGTGTAAATATGAATGGCAAACTGGGTGCTTCTGAATAAGTAGAAAATTTACAAACAATTGGAAAGTCATAGAGAAAAGTTCTAAATTAATGCTGACATAACATATATTTCATGTGCATGATTTGGTGTATCATATGATAATATTTGCAGAAGAATAACTGATATTGTAATGCTCGAACATAATATGACCAATATTTTTCAATAGCATTGTTTTTTATGATTCCTAGACACATTGTCCAGAAACATTTCATCCAGATTATTTACGTGTACTATGCATTTTAGTCTACTTCCAGTTTTAGTCCAGAAACGTGGGATGTCCATACAAATTTCGTCCACATTTTTATGTCCACATATAAGTATGGTTCACTGAGCATTCATATGTTATTTAGTTACAATATTACACAATTTAATATTTGATAATTCCCCATCGCTCTATTCAGTTTTATATAATTTCATTCTGTAGCTAATGGTATGAAAATATAAATCTATATTATTATTTTCGGCATATACTTGATATCAGACTAAAATATTTTTAATTTGACGTTGATTTATAATATACAATTTTCTAATTGGATATCTGATTTGCCAATAGCCGCCAGCAAGATGTAATAAGTGGATTTCATTACCTCTTTGATCTCTTTTATACAGTCTAAAAATGTCCATATTCCTGCACGATGTGTCACGATCAGCTTCTGAAATTTCGAGTGGCAGCCCTCCGCAAAATTATTTTTTTTCTCCGTTAACACATTCAATAATTGCGGAGGAAATCGTTTCGGTATTGTCCTCCTCCTTTCTCTTGCAGGTCGTCCTCGCAAATACGTTCTTTCAAAGTACGTCATAAGGTCTTGGACATTGTCGTGGCTTATTTCTAACAAACACCTCTTCGATGTTGTGGGGAGGTACAAATGGAAATTAAATTGTGAGCATGTATTTCTGTGAACTTCAAAGAAAGGACAAAAATGTGGACGAAAGAAAATGAACTCTATACTGGTGAAAATAGACCTTAATGGACAATATATACAGTGGTCGAATTATGTATGGACAAAAAGAAGTGGACGAAATGTCTGTGAACATATTAAAGTGGACCTTACAACTGTGGACAATATAAAGTGGACCAGTTGTTCTGGAAGCGTTTTTATATTGTCTTTAATGTTTTTTATGTACCTTAATTTTCTTTGCAACGTTTGACAATATTTTAACGTTTGAGAATAACCAAATATAGTTTATGATAGGAATTTGCATTGATGTCAAATAGATTGGTGCATCGACATCTTCGTTCCGATGATACGTTCTTGTAGATAAATTGTATGATGATGAAATAATATTGATGTAACGAAACACATTCACAATAGAGGCAATCATGAATGATAACACTAGTGCTCATAATAGGTGAAGTATCATAAGTAACAGTCCCGTGTTAAGTCTGTCTTTGAATTGGAATTCATTGGTTATTGCGCACTAATTTTAACAGAATAGTTAATAACCCGAGAATAAAATATTTCCACAAACTAATGCCAATTCACTGAAAATTCAATGCACTCGAATTATCAAGCAAATATAGTCATGTGTTAGTGATGGATGTGAAGGAAAACGATACGCAAAGATGGAAGTGGATACAGAAAACACAATTTAAATGTTACGTTTTCTTGTTTTATATGCCGGATTCTTGTTACATATCCATTTAACATTTCCAGACGCATATTTCAATGTTATTTACATGTCGCTGATTTTCTGCAACAGTTGAATATCACAAATTCTCGTTTTGAGATAACGCATTTCAACTTTCAAGTTCGTAAGCTTGTCATGTGATACAACAACAAATAGTTCCAAAACCTCTTCAGCTTCTTATTTATTACTGCTGAGTAATGCCAATGTTATCAATATGTTAATTTTTTCTAATTACTGTTGATAAATAAGAGGTATCTATTTCTCTTTCGTTTCATTTGAAAGGTTTTGAAAAACTATGGAAACTCGTTTATGTTTTCAATATTTTAAGTAAATTCTTAAGGCATAACCTACAAAGACGAAGTGTACAATAAACTTTTCATTGAAATTAGTGTTATTACTGTTAATCGGAACGATCGTTTTAGCTGCACGTCGGTAAATGAATGGAGACACGTGTGTCGAGTGGAAGCATCTCAACGGCTGGGCTGCGAGTGAGGCCATCTGCCTGCCGTCGGCGCATCGCTAGCACGTGGTTCGTGCCGCGGCCGGCAGGTGGCAGAGCGGGCGCCAGTGGTGGCCCACTGGTATTGAGCGCGGGCGGTATCGAAAATATTGGGGTGGCCTCTGGTGATGGTTGCGGTGCGGGCAGCGGTGACGGTGGTTACGGTGGTCGTGGGCCAGGTGGTGGTGGAGGGGAGGGTTGTGGATTGGCGTGCTGTCCCCCCCCCACTCCGCCTGAGGCGCGAAATCCGCCCGTGCAAGGGCGAAGGGATGGGATAACATTGTTCTATAAAAATAGTTGCAACTCGGTTTCATGCCTTCATTATCCTGCGGGATTAGTAATATTGTTAATGAAAATATAATTTTAAAAAGTGGTCGGGACAGAAATAGAATAGATGTAGAGTATATAATTTATTATTAATTTTCTCTTGGTATAATTTATTAATGACACAGCACGTTTATACTAAAAGGTAAAACGTTTGTCTTCATGAAAATATTGTTTTTTAATTATATAATTGTGCTGACTAACCAAAATTATCTAATTCTTTTAAATGTTGGAGATTTTGAACGAATGTATGCTCTAAAAATATTGTGATAATACTGCATGAGCATTATAAACGTCTTTATTAAAATACTAAGTTATCTAGAAATGGTAATAACATACCCCGAAATGTGAGTTTTTATCACAAATCATACTCGTACATTCGTTATATAAAAAGTTAATTGTTTTTAAAGATATTTAAATAAATATCAGAAGTCATAGATTTCATGGTTTACCGGCTGCAGAGGGTCAGGTCATCGACCTACGTCACTGCAGTGCTTCTTACTAAGAGGTACTACGGTTCCAGTCCTGATGGTAGCGGGTTTTTTTGACAGTAGCTACAGAGCTTGGTCGTGCTCAGCTGCTGTCTGGAGGGGAAGTCTAGCGACCGGCTACCTCTGATCGGTATTTTTTCGTGGTTTCTTTGACAATGTCAAGCGAAAGCCGGAGCAATAATCTGGCAAACGGGAGCTATTTTTCCTTACTCTTCCTTGTCCTATCCACGCCCCCTTAATTGCACACAATTATACTTACATGCGCTACACTATCACACATGTCTGGAAACCAATGAGAAGCTGAGAACTTGCCCCGACTGGGGAGAGACGCCTGGATCGGGCATACCCCACAAGTCGACGTGTTGGTAGGTACCGGATGTTTCCATCCAGCAGGGAAAAGACATCGCCACATCTAATGCTCCGAAAAAAACATTCCATTTTAGGAACCAATGACCTTAGCAGTTGACGCGCCCGGAACCACAAAAGACAATTTCATGAATTGTGTGTATTTTTATATAGAACCAAGATCATTGCTACGAAAATGCATATGGAGTACACAATTAATTAGTAAATTTATCAACCAATTTGTGATGATTAATATACTGGAAATAATGTGAAAAATACATAAACATATAACCAATTTATTTAGAGACAATGGGAGAATGTATTTGGGGTCAGGTATAAGCTATTGCATCCACTGATAGGGCCAAGAATTGAAACCAGTGTATTACAAATAAAAAGTGTTTTATGTTCTTTTTGAATAGAATAAAAACATATTTAGCACTCATAATCGAATTAAGAATACTATTTTATTGCTTAGTTTTCATATTTTCACCATTAAATGATGTTATGATAATTTATATTGAAAGAAAAATTGTAACTAGTGCACTGCAATGTTTACAAAATCAAAAATAAACTACAAACTTTTGAATTCAATATTTCCATAATATCTCTTCACTTTCATTGTTTGGATGTTTACATTATTTTTTGCACTAAATAATTTGCTGCCATTTTGTTATTGTAATTCTGTTTAAAAATCGAGAGAACCTTTTGCACTTTTCTTCCAATAATTTAAACTCTTTAAAAAGCGCGTACACTTCGTATGTTTTCATTTACTAAATAATTGAAAATATTGGGGCAATAAAAATTCTAAGCGTTAAATGTTTATCTTCAAGAGTCTCCATTCCCTGTGGAGGAATTTAACGTCGTGTAGTAAGTCGGACGTCCATTGTTCTTGCATGACGATTCAATTGTAATATCGTATCTCTTTCTCTGAAGTTAAGAAAGGCCCCCGAGGAATGGCGAGGAACTTTTCCAGACTCGTCACTTCTTTCTTATTCTTAACCTGTGGAGCTGCCCCATTCTTTAATAAATACTATTAAATTCCTTTCTAGTGCTAATTACCTTCCTTCCCAAATTGAAGGACGAGGAGCAGAAGCAGGAAGAGGAGGAGAATTCGGATGGGTGGTTTGCCGCCCTCGCCCCTCCTCTTGCTTCCTCGCCTGTCCTCGCCGCGTGTCGTCACCTCTTTCTTTTCGCTCCCCGACGCTCCCCGTCGCTCCCAGTTGCTCCCCGTCGCTCCCCGTCACTTTCCATCGTTCTCGGACGCTCGCGCTTTCCCGCCTATTCTCTCTTTCGCAGTCTTTAAGGCTTACTCAATTATCTCTGTTTTAAATTTGCTTTAAATGGGTTTGTTTCTCCATCTGAACGGAGGGGACGCAAGCACGCCGCCTCGAGGCGCCGAAAGACAGCCCCCGCCTGATGGTGTTGTGTAGGCAACCCGCCGCACGCTTTTGTGCGTAGGAATTGTCTGCCGCCCCTGAAATTCAATGTTGGTCAGGCGGAAGGAATGGTTTTCCTGCGGGGGTTATTATTGGGAAATTAAAATTTAATATTTTCAATTTTTTAATAATATTTAGTTTTATTGTCTTGATGTAAAATAAATTGGAAGAATTACTTATAATTGGTTGCGTAATATACAGGTGTAAAGTTTCATTTCTACTCATTAGAACTAATATGTATCTGGAAAATTAGTACTAATATGTAATGGAAAGAAAATATTTTTTGTTATTGTATTTTATTCCTATCAGTTCAGAAACCTCAATGAAATAGATTTATTAATGTGTTATAATTATTTCAGTTACGCAAAAACTGATACCGATGTGACAAAGAAATATAATCTAATGTTGTTATTATTAGGATATGTTTTCTGTACACCATTTCTTGTATTTTACGAGGTTTAATCTGCTATAAGCATTTTATGCGAAACAAAAATAACCACAGACATGACTTTAATAACATTTTGATTCATTATATTGTGCCGAATATTTGTTTTATTTTTACTTATATATTTAAGACTTTTTATAAATCTACATATCGGAAATTTAGTGCAATTATAACGGCATATGTAATGGTTTCTGTAATTTCTCTATATTAACTTTGGTGTGGTTGGTAAAAAAATAAAGAACTTTAAACAAATTTTTTTAAAAAGGCTCATGGGTATTCGATTATTTCTTCGATTTTCAATTACTAATATGCATTCAAAGAAGTAATTGGGAGAAATTCTTAGTATGATTTTCAGTATTACTACTTGTATGAAATACAATTCTAGCATAAAATACTTCCTTTGATCATTAATATAGGATGCAGAAAGAATGAATAATACAAACAAATACACTCAATAACAAATGTTCTGTTTTATTTTCTACTTATTAAACATACTTTTGTCCAACTTCTTTAATGAATTCGAAAACGGATGTTGATCGGAGGACCAGAAATTCGATCGAAATAACGGGGGAATGAGAAAAGGTGCCTGCAAAATCCCTGTGACTCGAATAGGAGGACTAAGCATGTAATTGAATCTCAAATTCGAAATGTAGTTGCTCTTTGTCAACGTAGCCGTCAATGAAGGTGTCAGAAACGTCACTAGCGTTAAAACAGTCATTTCTGTTCAAATTGGCAGAGATACACCGATTCGGTGTGCTATTAAGGTACACAACAAACAGCTTTGTGGAGGTAGCCATGATACTCCCTGGCAGTTTCAATTAGCAGGAGATGATGCTCGTTTATCGGAGCGTCATATCGATGTCCTCGTATCGACTCTTCCAGTCTCCTAAACATTTTCAGCATTGCAGGCTTCCCTAGTAGCAGAAAACACGTATCGCTGGGTATACATTTATATAACCGGCCTTTATTGCGATATTTTGAATTACTTTCAAAATGAGACAATAAAATGAGTTCCTATTATGGAGAAATATTTAAATGTATGTTTATAAATGTATTGTCTTGTAGTATATCTCGTGAACATGTTTAATTTGCTGCGCGGTCAACTATTAATGTGGCAAGTAATTTCGAATTTTGGTGAAAAGAGCTATCTTAAACTATATCAATACAAAATGAAAGTTAATATTCGCAATGTTTTGGAAAACGCTTGAGTTTTTTCCTCCTATTTATAGAAGTAGTCCTTATTTTGAAGCTAATATTAAGGTCATAGCAATTTTCTTTTTTGTTTTTAGAAATTTATTGAAAGTTTATTAGAGAACGTCAAACTTTTTTCTGTGATTTGTGTTCTATTTCTTAAATACCGATCATGCAAATGCTGGATCTCGCTATTCAGTGCATTCCAATAACGAAACGTTATTGTCAGTAGATAGATAGATAGATACATACATACATAGATTTATTAAAGTTCTCTTTGAGCTAATGCTCGGTGGCAAACGCGATAACAATTAGAATTAGAATTACAAAACATTTTCAACATTTACAATTAGGTTTACTATTAGAATTAAATCTCGCATGTTTTGGAAAACGCTTGAGTTTTTTCTCCTATTTATAGAAGTAGTCCATTATTTTGAAGCTAATAGTAAGGTCATAGCCATTTTCTTTTTTGTTTTTGAGAAATTTATTGAAGTTTATTAGAGAACACGTCAAACTTTCTTCTGGTGATTTGTGTTCGTATTTCTAAATACCGATCATCAAATGCTGGATCTCGTATTCATTGCATTCAATAACGGAAACGTTGTTATTTCAGTAGATAGATAGATAGATACATACACATAGTTCTAGTTCAACTTGAGCTAATGCTCGGTTGGCAAAGCCGATAACAATTAGAATTAGAATTACAAACATTTTCAAACATTTCAATTAGTTTTACTATTAGAATTAGGGGTCGATATCATAGTTCCAATATATATTTTAAGCTAACTCTCAAATTCACTTTCTAGTTTACCATAACACTTCGTACACTACACTCCCTTCCCCCTCCCACTACACTATACCTTTCACTTTCACTACTAGGTCATGACCCGATCATAATTATAACAATATAAGAACTAATAATGGAACTTAAAAATTCCCCAAGTAATGACAGTGTTAAAATGACAATAAAATTGTCAGTAATATA